TGCAGAAACTACGAAATTAATTTCTCTATTAAGATATTTATTTGGTTTCTAGTTGCTTGTGCTCTCTTAAGCCTAATGAACAAACCAGTAGTTTTTACCTGCGAATCTATTCTAACTGAAATTCGAACAGTAAGATTTAAGTAAAAAATTATTATTTCGTTTTAGCTTTCTGACAGCTCTTGAGCTTCGACCATGCTCAATATGAGAAATCTCTATTAGCCCACAGAGTCACATGACAGGCAGCTGAATGAGTTTGACTCATGACTTTTCTGTCACGTCAGTAAGTGATTCAGTGTTTTCTTATGCTAAAAGGCCTGAAACACACACACACACACATAATGTGTGGATCAACAATAACCAAGCACACAACAACCTGCTTGCGTATGATACGAGGGACAAATGAATGGCTAAAATGTTAATAAAAATGTGCACTCAATTCACAGGTGTATTTATTGAATATTTGTTAGTTACTCTATTAAAGGGCTGGAGAAAGTGTCAGGATAAGAAACATCACATTCGGTGTCAATGTACAACAGTCCTGAAATTCAGCACTGGATAATGGACATTAATCACTTAGTTTAATGGATGGGTGACAATTAGTAAATGAATAAATCAAATCGTTATCTTTCTGTCAGACTGCATGGCTCACCAGTTGACACCTGGTTGCAGAACTGGTTAAGACCCCTAAGGCTGACCTAGTAAAGCAGAAGTGTCTGATAAGCCTTCAGCAGGATCTGCAGCTACAGAAATGAACACAGAAGATCAGATCGGTTGGGTGATGTTCTGCACCGTTGCAGTTAAAAATAAAGCATGTGCCGGTTTGGTGAGGTCAGGAGCTCCGCGGGTGTGGGCCGCTCAAACAGAAAGACTAATGCACTGATGGGGTTTCTGTGCGTCCCGCCGATCGCGAGAGGACAAACTGACAGTGTTCAGTCTCTCACACCAGGGGTTCTCAAAGCGGGCTACGAAATAATTTTAAGGCCCTTTGATCGCATTATGATGTGAAAAATGCGGATGGAATCCAGTCATAAAAATGGAATTTACCGTATATCACGGAATATCATGGAATTTACGTGTCACGGTTTGGGCTACTACACATACTGAAGCACGCATGATGCTTTGAGAACAGTAAAACAGAATCTGAGCAAAAATAAAGATTTCATAGGCTCTTAATAGTAATGTAATGATGCATAATGATGTAATGATAATTTCATGCATTGTTTACAGCGGTAACCAAGGAAACACTATATAGCTGCTGTTCCATAAGCGCCACCTGCTGGCAGAGAGTGAATTTGCGTCTCAGTCCATTTGCTGGTTTTGTTTCATTCAGATATTTTATGTAGTATAGTTTCACAAAACTAAAGTCAGACCATTCTGGTTTTGCTTCAAATGCACTTTTTTCCTTTTATTTGTTTCGAAACTAAATCATCCGCGATCGTCTTGTCTGTCTCACCTCACTCTTCTTGTCAGTCTGCTCGTCTCACTCTCCTCACTGGAGAAATGAAATCTGATCTGATGCGACTGTTGTTCGGCACGCTGCATTGAGCAGCCGCGTTCAGTTTTTAATTGTAGTGTCTGTTCTTTTACTGAACTAAATGATTTTTATTACTATAAAAAATCAAAACGACGGTGGGGGTCGGTGACGCGGTGGGCAAGTGACCTAACCGGTGTTGCGGCTTAACACCGGTATCACCATCAGCACCGTCTATCGCGGCAAGCCTATCCGCCACCTCTATCTTTCTGTCGCTCGGCTCGCTAATGTCCGTCCTGTGCACTGAACCCTCTCTCCTCCACATCATGAGTAGACACGCCCCTTACTGCTGATTGGCTACAAGTTTGTTTTGCTAGTCGGCCCAAATAAGTTTTCTAAAGCGTTTTTGGAAAATCGCTTACCCCACCTTTAATTTATTTGATTTGGGATTTGTTTTAAAATTTAACTGTTGTTGTTTTTTTATTTGACATGATATTTCAATTCCACAAAGAAATTTGCAGCATTTTGTCTGAGAAATAATAAAAGGTTTTTTTCACATTTTTCATTTATAATTTGTTTTAAATGTCATTTCGTTAAAAAAAGTAAGAAAATATTTTTTGTTAAACTTTTTAATAAATTGTTAAATTGTATAAGTGTTACGATTTCAATTAATTAGACATGCTTTTTTAATTAATACTATTTAAAAACAGAGTCCAGAAAAATTTTAATGGAAAAAAGTGTAAACCAGACCAATTAAAGTGGAAGTTCCAATGGCATCTAAGAGTACAAATTGTAGTAAGCATATACTTAATCACCATTAGGTGCACTCAGTAATTTATTTATTAATTAAAAAACATTTTACACGTGCAAAAGTATTATTGAGAAAAACTGTCCAGCACATGTGGACAAACACAAGAGCCTGCTGAACGTAAACACAAACTTGCTTTAAACTGAATGGAACGACTCCACGTGAACCATCCACACTAATAACATTTTCACAAGCAAAAATCGGTTCAAATGCACACTCACAATAACTTTACAGGTCCTCTGTTGAATCTAAATATCTGCACAAAAACCCTTAAGCTAAGGCAGCACTTATGAGTAAATTATCGCTACGGATTTCCTGACCATCAAGTGTTTTGTGCAATTGGCTGCTGGATTTTGTGAATTTTATTTGTGCCACAACGTGCGTTTTGAGTCTGCACTGTCTTTAGCAGTTCACCACATCTGAGCGCACCATCAAACTCCCATCAGGCAAAGCAACCTGAGGGACGAGGCGGGCGGCATAATGCTATGGAAATTGACACAAGGAATATTTGTTTTGCTCTTACGTAATACTCGACACACCCATCTGGAAACTCAGTATCAGAGCAATGAGAGCTGGTGCAGTTTGTGTTTGTTAGTCTGATCAGCAGCTTTCACTGCACTCAAGACAATCGGAAAGAAAGCGCACACATCCGCAGCGCTGTACGCTACCTGTAAACACACACTCGCTGTTCTGGAGAAAGACATGAGAGACTGTGAAAGCTCTCAATGAAGCACAGACGACCAGCCCTAAACCAGCTTCTCTTGGTTTCTTAAACTCACTTCCCAAAAATGGCACGGAAGTGACCTGCTTTATCAAACTCGACAACAAGGGTGGCAAAGTTTTGGGTCAGCTGCCCTTTTATTGACACTAAAAACCTCTTTTAGCGCATTGTAAACGCAAGCCGTTGGTTTTCTGTCGTATTCGGTCATTGCAATCCTGCTGATATGTCACCAAGAGCATGATATCTAACCGGTTAATACAGATGAGCTTTGGTTAAAATGACAAAAATGACTTGTGATGGCCTTGAAAACATCATTAAGGATATGCTGAAAACTACAAACCAGTGTTTGCACCCATTTTATTAAATTGATGTAGTTGCAATATAGATAATTTCCAGATTTTTGTAAAGAAACAAATTATTTGAATTCACAAAAATGTTGGAAATAAAACATTTTATTAAAAAAAAATATATTTCTAGCAAAAATATATTTTTTTTTAAAAGTGGATAACGTTTTTATTAAATTTATGTAGTTACAATATAGATCATTTCCAGCTTTCTGTAATCAAAAACAACTATTTTAATTCACAAAAATGTTTTATGAAGGTAAATTTAAGACCAAGACATTTAAGGAATGAACTGAAGGGAACACAATACGTCAATAGTCTCTAAATGGACATTTCTATAGCGTACACAATGAGTTGTATTAGCAACACTTCAAAGTTTGAAAATACAACTTCCAACAGATCTCCATTACTTTTTAAGCCATCTTACTAAAAGAAATAGCTTTAGGCTTGAATAGCTCTGATCCCAACGACTAGAATATGGAAATAACTTTTACTCTACCTTCTGATTACACTGCAAAAATGTGTTGTTTTTCATCAGTTAAGATTCTTAAATCAAGATACATTTACTTGAGAAGCAAAATGACATAAGAAAGAAATCTTGGATGATATTCATTTATTGCAGTGCATGCAACATTTAATGCCATGACTTAATTAATTTAAGACTTTCTGCTCTGATTGAAGACCTTTTAAGGCCTGGATTTGTGGAAGGGCAAATTAAGACTTTTTTAGGACCCACAGAAACCCTGTCATCATTTTGGCAGGGCAAGTGAACATCTCAATTATTGGCTGGTTGAAAATAAATCTTATTGTTGAGCTCTGTAATAAAACAAACCTTTGCACTTTGAACTGATATTGAGCTGTCTTAGGCCAAACTTACAACATGCTTTTAATACCATGACCCAGACTTACTCTGCAAATAATTTTTTTTTTTAATTTAATCAAGCAGGCAAAAAGCTAATGCTACTGTTTTCTTAAAAGCCACCTAACGTTACATTTCAATGTGAAAGTCTAAACTAGTCTGTGTAGTGTTGCTCAGCTGTTTTCTTCAGCTTTGGTCCAGATGTGTGAATCACCTCACAATGCACACTATTTGAGTAACGTTAGGTTTGTTTAGACCGAAAGGCCCAGAAATGCTAGTCGATGTCTAGGTAGTCAGCTCACTAGGATTTGAGACACAGCCCGCGGCTGCACCGCTGGAATGCAGTAAAGTTTCGTTGATTTCTGTCATTAATAAATGACTTGAGACACTTTGAGACACTTGAAACACGGAACTTCTTTCAAATGTTCAAACTTTGAGCTAATGTTTACTGATCAATAACTGCAGTTTTACTTCACTGAGAATCAGTCTGTGGAGCAGCTGAACATCTGTCATTGTACTACATAACCTCATAATTTTTAAAAAAAAAACATCACTTAGAGAACCCAAACAAATCAATAAAACAACTACAGTCAAATATATAAGGTCAAACATCGAGCACGAGTAACGTAACTTAACGTTAGTTCATGAATCTGGCAACGATCTACTTAATGAGTCCTGAATCGAAACTAATAAGCTTCATTGTGCTGATATTTCAGTTTAGCGCCAGTTATAGACATTCTAACGTGGTTATTTTAGTCATATCTGTAGTGAAAAGGTATTTCTGTGAGTGTTTTTACCTCAGCAGTTCGTCGTGTCGGAGGAGTTTTCAGCGCTTTCTTCAGCGATAAATCCACTGAGGAATTCATATTAAACTCTCTGATTTCGGGATATAAAAACTTCATATATTCACGTGTGTCGATAAAATGAAGTAAAATATAAAAGTGAAATGAAATAAAATAAATAATGACATCATGAATCTCTTGCAGAGTCCGGGGAATCTGGCGCTGATTTGAGTTAGCTTCAGTTAGCATGTGAAGTGAAGTGAAGTCGCTGATGAAAGTGCTGTTGAAGGGAGGCGCGAATCAGAAATAGCCAAAGTTGACAAAAAACAATCCTTCATTTCTGGGAAATTTCTCCATTCGTGACGGTAAAACATCATAAATAATCGGAGGTTCATAAGATCCTCCGAGCAGAAGCATCCAGCAACAGCCCATGACTGCAGTTCATCCCCGAGCCGCCTCAACAACATTCACATGACGAGCTGCTGCTGCTGCTGCTACTGGAGACCAGTGCGTACTAAACTACACTGATCAGACAGATGTGAGACCAGTGCGTTCTAAACTACACTGATCAGACACATGTGAGACCAGTGCGTTCTAAACTACACTGATCAGACACATGTGAGACCAGTGCGTTCTAAACTACACTGATCAGACACATGTGAGACCAGTGCGTTCTAAACTACACTGATCAGACACATGTGAGACCAGTGCGTTCTAAACTACACTGATCAGACACATGTGAGACCAGTGCGTTCTAAACTACACTGATCAGACACATGTGAGACCAGTGCGTTCTAAACTACACTGATCAGACACATGTGAGACCAGTGCGTTCTAAACTACACTGATCAGACACATGTGAGACCAGTGCGTTCTAAACTACACTGATCAGACACATGTGAGACCAGTGCGTTCTAAACTACACTGATCAGACACATGTGAGACCAGTGCGTTCTAAACTACACTGATCAGACACATGTGAGACCAGTGCGTTCTAAACTACACTGATCAGACACATGTGAGACCAGTGCGTTCTAAACTACACTGATCAGACACATGTGAGACCAGTGCGTTCTAAACTACACTGATCAGACACATGTGAGACCAGTGCGTTCTAAACTACACTGATCAGACACATGTGAGACCAGTGCGTTCTAAACTACACTGATCAGACACATGTGAGACCAGTGCGTTCTAAACTACACTGATCAGACACATGTGAGACCAGTGCGTTCTAAACTACACTGATCAGACACATGTGAGACCAGTGCGTTCTAAACTACACTGATCAGACACATGTGAGACCAGTGCGTTCTAAACTACACTGATCAGACACATGTGAGACCAGTGCGTTCTAAACTACACTGATCAGACACATGTGAGACCAGTGCGTTCTAAACTACACTGATCAGACACATGTGAGACCAGTGCGTTCTAAACTACACTGATCAGACACATGTGAGACCAGTGCGTTCTAAACTACACTGATCAGACACATGTGAGACCAGTGCGTTCTAAACTACACTGATCAGACACATGTGAGACCAGTGCGTTCTAAACTACACTGATCAGACACATGTGAGACCAGTGCGTTCTAAACTACACTGATCAGACACATGTGAGACCAGTGCGTTCTAAACTACACTGATCAGACACATGTGAGACCAGTGCGTTCTAAACTACACTGATCAGACACATGTGAGACCAGTGCGTTCTAAACTACACTGATCAGACACATGTGAGACCAGTGCGTTCTAAACTACACTGATCAGACACATGTGAGACCAGTGCGTTCTAAACTACACTGATCAGACACATGTGAGACCAGTGCGTTCTAAACTACACTGATCAGACACATGTGAGACCAGTGCGTTCTAAACTACACTGATCAGACACATGTGAGACCAGTGCGTTCTAAACTACACTGATCAGACACATGTGAGACCAGTGCGTTCTAAACTACACTGATCAGACACATGTGAGACCAGTGCGTTCTAAACTACACTGATCAGACACATGTGAGACCAGTGCGTTCTAAACTACACTGATCAGACACATGTGAGACCAGTGCGTTCTAAACTACACTGATCAGACACATGTGAGACCAGTGCGTTCTAAACTACACTGATCAGACACATGTGAGACCAGTGCGTTCTAAACTACACTGATCAGACACATGTGAGACCAGTGCGTTCTAAACTACACTGATCAGACACATGTGAGACCAGTGCGTTCTAAACTACACTGATCAGACACATGTGAGACCAGTGCGTTCTAAACTACACTGATCAGACACATGTGAGACCAGTGCGTTCTAAACTACACTGATCAGACACATGTGAGACCAGTGCGTTCTAAACTACACTGATCAGACACATGTGAGACCAGTGCGTTCTAAACTACACTGATCAGACACATGTGAGACCAGTGCGTTCTAAACTACACTGATCAGACACATGTGAGACCAGTGCGTTCTAAACTACACTGATCAGACACATGTGAGACCAGTGCGTTCTAAACTACACTGATCAGACACATGTGAGACCAGTGCGTTCTAAACTACACTGATCAGACACATGTGAGACCAGTGCGTTCTAAACTACACTGATCAGACACATGTGAGACCAGTGCGTTCTAAACTACACTGATCAGACACATGTGAGACCAGTGCGTTCTAAACTACACTGATCAGACACATGTGAGACCAGTGCGTTCTAAACTACACTGATCAGACACATGTGAGACCAGTGCGTTCTAAACTACACTGATCAGACACATGTGAGACCAGTGCGTTCTAAACTACACTGATCAGACACATGTGAGACCAGTGCGTTCTAAACTACACTGATCAGACACATGTGAGACCAGTGCGTTCTAAACTACACTGATCAGACACATGTGAGACCAGTGCGTTCTAAACTACACTGATCAGACACATGTGAGACCAGTGCGTTCTAAACTACACTGATCAGACACATGTGAGACCAGTGCGTTCTAAACTACACTGATCAGACACATGTGAGACCAGTGCGTTCTAAACTACACTGATCAGACACATGTGAGACCAGTGCGTTCTAAACTACACTGATCAGACACATGTGAGACCAGTGCGTTCTAAACTACACTGATCAGACACATGTGAGACCAGTGCGTTCTAAACTACACTGATCAGACACATGTGAGACCAGTGCGTTCTAAACTACACTGATCAGACAGATGTGAGACCAGTGAGTACTAAACTACCGTGATCAATGAGGGACGCAAAACCAGTGCGTACTAAACTACACTGATCACTAAGAAATCAGTGCATGCTAAACTACACTGATCACTGAAGCCAGTGCATACTAAACTACACTGATCACTGAGCGATGTGAACCTGGGAAGTATTTCAGAAAGCATGTTTTAGCAACTTACTCTGTAAGTTCACATATAAGAAAACCTCCACTTTCAGTTCCAAAAACTGAGCTAATGTTCAGGTTATGTACTTAGCCATATCAACTTACACTCTAAACGTAACCTGCACATTTCATCATTTATCATTTTAAAGCTTCTATAATAATGTTTATTTCACTTTAAACACTTAACCACAAAGAGAAGTGTGGATGTTGTACACTTCATGCTCTTCAAGGCTGCATTTATTTGATCAAAAATACAGAAAAAACTAATATTTTGAAATATTACAATTTAAAATAATGGTTTTCTATTTTAATATACTTTAAAATATAATTTATTCCTGTGATGCAAAGCTGAATTTTCTGCATCATTACTACTGTAGATTACTCCAGTGTTCAGTGTCACATGATCCTTCAGAAATCATTCTAATATGCTAATTTATGTTTTATATTAACATTTTTTATAACCTGTGATATTTTTATAACCCTTTTTTTCAGGATTCTTTGATGAATAAAACGTTAAAAAGAACAGCATTTATTTAAAATACAAATTTTTTAAAAATAGAAAATTCAGCTTTGCATTACAGCATAAATTATATTTTGATGTTTAAATAGAAAAACATTATTTTAAATTCATTTTTCGAAGTTTTTCTGTATTTTTTGGTAAAATAAATGCAGTCTTGGTGAGAAAAAGAGATTTCTTTAATAAATATTAAAAATCTTTCTGATCCCAAACTTTTGAACAGCAGTGTATGTGATGGTAAAACAATCTTGATTTTGGAAATCATGATGATTAGAAGTTGAGAAAGAAAATTAAATCTGACCTTTACAAAGAGTTCATATGCTCAGTGTCCCCAATTTAACGTAATCTAGATTGTGTTTTTCCATTTTACACCACACATTCAGACCCTACTATAGATGAACACGCACAGACGGACAGAGAGATAATGACACAGCTGCTGTACAAAGTAACAATCAACAACATATATAATTGTAATGTTGGCATATTTATTGCACAGTATTCCCCAAAAAAATGGGAAACAAAGATAAGGTCAAAAAGAGAGGCTTTATGTACAAATACATCAAGAAAATCTATGCAGTATATACAGCTAACATTTACCAATACATGCAAAGTAAATAAATTAAATGCTTTTCTGTATAAAGAAATAATTAGATATAAATACACATTCTGGAGGCAAATAGATAGATTTTTTTTTATTTTAAATACAAAATGTTTCCCACCGAAGCAACTCCTACATGTTTTAACCAGCTAAAATAACCTGCAACACCTTGCAAGGCCAGTGGTTTGTTTGTTTTTTCTTTCTTTTTTTTGTCGATTAAGACTAAGATTAAGATGTATGGTTTGACCCAAAGACAAAGTAAGCCAACCATTCATAAACATCTTTTGTAAGTCATTAACTGATTGAATCATTGCATGTTCATTTTTCATCCATTTCTCGGTTATTCCATCAGTAAAAAATCTGTCTGCAAGCTAAAAAGACACATTAAAAAATTTCAGCATTTCAATCCTGAAAATACAAGATGATTGTTGAATTAAAAAAGGGTCCGGCACAAATCCCAATGTAGTGATTGGTGACCATCTCATTCTCTTGACCAAATTATTCCCTTTTTTAAAAATCGCATGCACACAGAATGTTGTCTAAATGACTATTCAAATAAAAATACATATCTTAATAATTTCCACAGGACAGGTAAACACTTCTGTTACAGCTAAAGTGACGCTGCCCAAAAAAATGATAAAAACTGAATCCTCAGAGCTCTTTCATGGGAAATCGTAGCATGGTTTCATCTTTATTGGGTGACTGAAAACCAAAAATGAAAACTTTACCTCAAATGTTTAATTTAGCATGTTAAATGTGTGTGTGTGTGTGATACTGAAGGTTTGAGGTAGAGCTCATTTCAACTGGACACGACTTGTAAACACAAAGAAAGGAATATTACATGATCACTCACTGCCACAATCGATTAAGAACAGTCCATGATATATTCATTTAAAATCATAAAACTGATTTTATAACTCAGTCTTTGCTTCCTACGTTGATTTGAAGAAGGTGCCATGAACAGCTTCAGTATTTGTTCTTGATGCACGCAAGGGCTGCTTCGATTTCTTCTTTGGCTTTTACATTCTTATGTTGTGTAAAGGAACAAAACAAAAAAAAATGTGGTTTATGGAATTATAAAATGCACTCCATGTGTCCACTGTTAAAAAGTGATATTCCCAGGTCACTTTCAGGGAACCTCTGGGTTTCGACCGCCATCTAATGGCAGAGCGTCTGTCCTGCAGTCTGCTCACCCTGAGATGGTTCCCAACGAGCGCCAACTCAACGGTCAGCTGCTCCAGGAGTCTCAGGGGCCTTGAGGGGCCCCGTCTGGCCGTACCGAACCTGGCGGACCCGACCTGTCTGCCGGCGGGGGAATGGAGTCTCTCTCGCTCTCCATGTGGCCTACAGCAGAATCTGGGCCACGTACGGTGAGTGTGTGCTCGCTATGGCCGCTAGCAGGGGCAGATCGTTAGACTCGATCCTGTGGGGATAAACCAGATCAGATTGTTAAAAAAACAGAATGCATCACAACTAGTGGTCAACCGATATGGATCTTTTTTTGATGGCCTATGCTGATTTGCTGTCTATGGGAGGGTCAGAGAGCTCTCGGATTTCATCAAAAATATCTTAAATTGTGTTCCGAAGATGAACGAAGGTCTTACGGGTTTCGAACAACACGAGGGTGAGTAATTAATGACAGAATTTTCATTTTTGGGTGAACTAACCCTTTAAGGTCCTTGCACACAGAGTCCGAAATTCTCATCCCAAATTTTCATAAAAATATTTACATTTTCTGCATTCCGTAGCAAGCGTTTTCAGAGGTGTTTTGACAATTCAGATCCACCGTACAAGTGAACGCCAATATCCGCTTGATCCACTTCAACAGCACACAGCAAATTGGTGGTCTTCTTTTTAATATGTGGCTCCAGTATCGCTAGCAAAGCATCAAACTGAGCCACTGACATCCTGAAGTAAACTTTGAATCGCTGTGGATAATCCTGAAGCTCCTTGGTAAGGAGGTGGAAACTCTCTCTGCGCAATCTCAGGATTGGATGCACCCAATATTTCCTCTCATTTTTTCTTTTTAAGAAGAGAGAGAAGAACAAAATCATCCTCACTGCTTGAAGACTCCGTTTTGTATTGTTTTGTGAATTTTTTTCACAACGGTTTATCCTGCAGGTGCTAATACGCATCGGACTCAGTGTGCAAGGTTTCTATGCGTGACAAATTTTTAGAATGACGAATACGAAAAAAACGCAAACTCAGTGTGGACCTTTTCAGGGTGGCCGATTTATATGCTATCACACTATTTATTAATTTAAAAACAGTAAAAACATGTAAAACAATTACTGAAATTAAATGTATTTTTACATAATATTTATATAATTAAAAAATGAGTGACAGCTGAACTCTCCTGCCTGTGTTTATTTCTCACAGACCGACTGTTAAACACGGAGTTCAGTCCTTTTTATTCACACTTCAGATGATCTCACAGCTGAATTCCATAAAGTTTGCAAGACTGGTGAAATTAAACGTTTATTAGATATTCAAAGACTTGTTTAAATGAAATGTGTATTTGCTGAATGCTGACGGTAGATGAGAAAGTATTGTAATAAAAAGCAAACTCCATACACTTTTTCCATATACCACTTACTTTGTATAAAGTTCTGTGTAATAATTCATCAGTCAGTCAAACTGTTAAACAGAGACAGTAAAATAATGGGATCTTCGTGCACTCTGGCCCTAGTGTTCTCATTAGTGTGCTGTCATAATAAAAGTCCAACATAATGGCCAAAGAGAAAAAACTTCTTGGCCAATGCCTATAATAAAAAAAAAAAAAGCCAAATATCTGTCGACCACTAATTACAACTTGTAGAAAGACACATGAATTCTTACCCTAAAACCATGCCCAGTGCACGGCGCTTTTAAAAGCGAAGGAAAGTGAGGAAAAGAGGGAAAATTCAAACGAATTAAAAATGAACAATTGCTTTATTCCGAATTGCCGCTATTTGAAAGAGAAAGTAAAATGCGCACGCCGCTTTTACAAGCTATTTAAAAGTGAAGGAAAGCGAGGAAAAGAGGGAACGCCCCGCCCCCGCGGTGATACCGGTATTACCGGTGTTGTCACACGTCGATTAACCGGTGGGAAAATTTCCTCACCGTCACAACCCTAGCCAACATACAGCACTGACTTCAATCCTGCTCCTGCAGAGCTCAGTTTCAACCTGCCCATTTCACAATAAACGTCCAAAGCCCAGCTTCGAGTTTTCATGTTTTGATGTCCATGTGTTTGAAATTAGTTGCTGTAGCATGTGTATCAAAGATGCATGAATGAAGCTATGCATTTTTGGGGGCCGTTCACAAAGAACACGTTTTTTTCCATTCGAATGCTCTACTTTTCCATTGTCTTTCTATGTAGACGTGCTACACAAACATCTATGAGCGTTGCGCATTGCAGAATCTTGCATGAGCACCACGTTTTTAAGACACCGTGTCAAGTAAAAAGAATTTCAACTTTCACATGCAGCGCCGCTCATCAAATCCAGTTCCAAAACAGTGGAAAAATCAGAAGAGCCCAGAGGCGGGGTAAGCGTTGCGAGCTTTTGTTTACAGTAGCAAGTTGGCAAAGCAACTGTTTTATTTGACGGCAACAAGGTGGAGCAGGCATTCTGTGCTGCACTTTTTTAAAAAACCATTTGTGAGCGCTGTGACTCGCGTTTTTAGATGCAAAGACGCATTCTAACTGTCACATTACTGTCCTAACAGTAAACCATAAGATTACTTGCTTTTGATACTTTATTGATCCAATTATTCAAAAATAATATCTAATTACTTGATTAATTTTTAAAATAATCGATTGCTTACAAAAATAATAGGGCTGCCCTCGACTTAAGATTTGTCTGGTTGACTAGTAGTCGTTCATTTGAAGCATTAGTCAACTAATCACATGTTTATTAATAAACCACTTAAATCATAATACTGAGCCTTTAATTGCCTACATAGCCTAATAAGCGCTCAAGCACACGCATAAAGCTTGCCACAGCACACCGGCAGAAGTAATGATAGTGAATGTGTCAGGGAAAAACAGTAAGGAGGCTGCACTAACATTTTAATAATTTATTGATAAACTAGTGCTTACTTTTTTTCGGCTTAAGAGATGTGACACCGACTCGTCATCTCCGCGGTAGTGGATGCGCCTGTATGCATGTTTCATATGGATTACATAATCGGAGAATATTTGTTTTCCATATGAATTGGTTTATTTAAAAGTAGACATTTCGCTCTCTCTCTCTCTCTCTATATATATATATATATATGTTTTCATATCTGTAAGGCAAATATACACGGAGTTTCGCGCTCAAATTCACAGAGACCGAGACGGCAGAAAGCGCATCCTGACTGCTTTCATTATTTTACAAAAGCGCAATGTTTTGTTGTTATTGTGAGTGCACACAAATAAATGTAGAGTCTTTACAGATTCAAAAGGTGTTGTACTCTTATCTGTATGAGCAAAAATGAGGGAGTATTTTAAGAGCAAGTAAGCGCACCGGCACCTCCATCTGTATCACCACATAGACCAGCCGTTAATGATCTGTCCGTCACAAATTGCGTGACTTCGTCAGTGGATTTTTTTTTTTCTGCGACTAAGCGAGTAATAAAATTCTGGTCAACCAAGCCTGTTCTGGTCGACTAACGGTTAGTCGACTATTAGGGGGCAGCCCTAAAAAATAATCAACAGTGAGAGCTCTAAAATGTGTTCACGTTTCCTTACAGATGTCCTGATGATTGAGTAAATATAGCAGAAGCAGCGTGAGAAAGTAGCACTCACGAAGTTTGGCGACAGGTTGAGTCGGTAGAGCTGGTAGGTGGACTGGAGCAGGTTGGACACGAGGTTGGACACGAGCACCTCTTTGCCCAGCTTGTCGGAGGGTCGTCTCTGGCTGCTGGCCACCTGCACGCTCCACTTATCGGTGTCTGCGATAATGCAGACGGCCTCCGCGATGGGCTCATCCAGCACAGGATGCTGCACAACAACAATTCAGCTCGTACCAATTTACACTTTACACATTATTTACACACAAGATTTTCACATTTTTGTTCATTTAGGACTCAGTGACACTCAAGTGCTGTAGGTGGGATGTATGGGACTCTTTTTCACACGAGTCCAGTGTTTCCCCTGCCATCATTTTAGGGGGGCGGCCCGCAGTTTCATGATTTTAATTAATTAGACATGCTTTTTGATTAATAAAATGTAATTTAACCATTAAAAAGGAGTCCAGAAAAAAAACGGAATCCCCCCCCCCAAAAGCCGTAAACCTAGGGGAAACACTGGAGTCCCAAGGTAAAAGTAGTTTGTGATGATTAAACAGTAGTGTTTGGGGATCATATGTAAGGCTGTAACTAACAATTATGTTGATAACTGCTTAATCTATTGATTATTTATTAAACTTGGCAAAATAGGGTTAAAATATAAACATTACATTGTGAACCACAAAACAACTGATTGCTTACCATTTATAAAGTACAAGTTAAATTAAAACGAATTAGAAAATCTTAATAAAAGAAAAACAAATCTCTATATAATTCTTTTTCTTGTTTTTCAATTTTAGTTTTAGTTATTTAGTACAATTTAAACTAAATAAAAAAGAGAAATGATGCCTTGCACTGCAAAAAATGCTTTTCTTACTTCGAGTTTTTGTCTCGTTTTCAGCCAAAATATAAAAAAATTCTTAAATCAAAAAGGATTTTCTAGACAAGTACAAATTATTGTCTTGTTTTAAGCAAAAACTCACTTAATTTTGACTTGTTTTTTTCTGAAAACAAGACAATAATTTGTACTTGTCTAGAAAATCCTTCTTGATTTAAGAATTTTTTTATATTTTGGCTGGAAACAAGACAAAAACTCGAAGTAAGAAAAGCATTTTTTGCAGTGTGGCAACCAGCTGAAATAAAAAAAAAAATTATATTTTCTTTTATTTCAAGTAATTATTTTTTTCCCCATGGTTTTCATTTTAGTTTTGTAAACTAAAATAACCATGGCACAGATGTGATTAGTTGATAATCAAATTTGCTGCCAATAATTGTCATTATAGAAGATTATCAATTTTATCGATTAGTTGTTGCAGCCATAATCTTATATAAATATAACTATCAGCAACAGACCCTTCATCGGGTGCTTGGTGACCTGTTGGAGGTGGTATTTACCTGCACAGCATGGGCCAGATCCGACACGAGGTTCTGCCTCAGTTTCTCATCATTGGGGGCTCCGTGCAGAACAAAGTCTGGGACGTACGTAGGACAGTATCCTCCGAAGAGCGACCTCCCAAAGTTGGCAATGCTTGGTTTAGAGTAGTTCTCCACCAGCTTCGCCCTAGAAAACACATAACCTGGTTTATTAGCAACATTTATAAGGTACAGACTAGGGCTGGGTGATGTGGCCAAAAAATAGTTGTATTTTAGTAGCTGAATTGCAATATATGGTATATATATCGTTATTCCATGGTCTGTCTGAATACTGGATTCTGATTGGTTAGCAGGTATGAAGTAAAACCGTTTAATGCACAGGTAGTTCCAAGTCAGTTTAATCACCGTTCTATATTAATGCACTGCTTTAATTGATGCTCACTAACCCACACACATCACTCGCGCACACACACAGAGAGAGAGAGAGAGAGAGAGAGAGAGAGAGAGAGTTGGAGATCGCACACAAATAAACTTGTTGTCAACGCTTCCCCACGATTTTTATTAATAAAACAGCCTTGATACTAGATCGCTATTTTATATTCCTCAGCAACGAGGTGGTAAAATCACAGTTTTTGAAGTAATTAATTGTTTGTAGAGAGAGACACGCAGACGCAGCACACAGGAAACGCACACACTCATCTCTCTCTTACTCTCTCTCGATCTATAATTAATTAAAATAAATGCTATAATTCATTCAAATAAACGTGATCTTACCACACTATTTCATCTCTGTGTCTGATTTGAAGCGGGCAGAATGCTAGAGATAACGTGCAGTCATATTTACCCCTATCGGTCCTTAACCATCTTCAAGAATCGGCTAAAAACACATCTCTTCCATCTTTATTTGACCCTCTAACTCTAGCACTCTCTATTCTAATTCTATTCTTTAAAAAAAATTGTTTTTGCCCCTTTTAGACTTGCACTATTCATTTACTAACTGCTTGTTTTATTTTAAAAATAAGAAAAACTAACACTAGCTTCTCTATTCTTTTTGTATTCTATCTATTTGTTTTCGTTTATTGATTATACAATTAACAAAAAGCAAAAAAAAAAGCCTCTAACACTAGCTTGCTCTGTTATTTTTGTATTCTGTTTTCTTATTTATTACATAATTTTAAAAAAAATACCTAAACCATTGTCATTTAGCAGATGCTTTTATCCAAAGCGACTTACAAATGAAAACAATGTAAATGTATATCGATATATACAGTATTGTCTCATTCCATATTGTTTATACAAAATATATAGATAGATAAAGCACCCAGCCCAAGCACAGCCCACAAGCCAAACAAAACAGATGGTTCTGATAACGATCTCCGCTCACCCGGGTAAAGGCACCTCGAGCTCATCCTGCCAGTCGGCCTGCTCTTCAGCATAGAACAGCCCATTGGGCTCTTGCCTGGGCAGCTCCTGTCCGGTGTCCTCGCTCTCGCTGTCCCCCAGCGCGCTGTCCGAGCTCTCATTGCGTGGGATCTCCCAGTCGTTCAGCGGGACTGCTTTCTTTTTCTCCCCAACGGTGCCTTGTGAAGGGACACTCAGCGACATCTCGATGCCCTTGTCCTGCTCGGCAGAACAGCAGGTTTTACAGCAGGTTTCTCCTGCGTCGCACTCACACCCACCATTGTCCAACCGTGGGGAATTGTTTCCTGCGCCTTTCATCTCCGTTTGGTAGACATCATCAATAGTCCTCGTCTCCACGGGATTGTCATCGCTGAAATACTCGTCAAACATGTCCATGCAGTCGCCTTGCACTTTCGGACACCACTGAGACGTCTTTCTAGTTCTAGTCTTGCTATCGTTGGTCTTGATTTGGTCCACTTGGAGTTTAGCCTCGCCGTTACACTGCTTCTGCTGGTTGTCTTTGAGAAGCTTCTTGTGTTTCTTGATCTCCTCCTCCACCTTTTGTTGTCGACTCTCCATGTCAGATTCAGGAGACATCGAGTCTCCGATGAGGAATGTGACTTTAGCAGAGGGCTCGTTCCTGGCGTTATCAAAGCTCTTGTCAGGGGGCTTCTTGTCTAGCAGGATATCTGATGAATGGAAGATCCTGATGGGCACGCCACCAGACTCCACCTCGGGCCGCACATCCCCTTGAATCTCGAACGAGGGTCTTCTCTCGCACGGGGAGTTGGCGCCGACTTTCACCACGGTTTCCAGTCGAGTCTCGAGCCGTGGGCTCCCTGCTTCTCTGCAGACAGGCGCGTCACTGATAGGGTCTGCCTCCGGTGTGGCGGGATGCGGACGCTTGTGCTCGTCTGGGGCTTCTGTGTCCATGTATGTGCTGCCCTGTAAGCTGTTGTCATCAGACGGGTAGACGTCCTCTCCCTCTGCACTCTGGGACAGGTAGTCTTGGCTCGGCTTGTGCACGGTAACCAGCACGTAGTCGGACTCCTCCACCTCTCCGCGGCGCAGCGACGTGGTGATGAGCGAGCCGGGCATCACGATGGCCTCGTCCTCGGCGCTCTCCAGCAGGTGTGTCTCCAGTAACTCCGAGCAGCGGATGAAGTAGGTCAGCACATAGAGAAGACGCTGCACCAGCTCCTGTCGTCTGCCAACCACCACCGTACGGGACAGACGCACAGGTGAGCCGATTGCCCCGTACAGGTCACCTGCAACAATAACAACATTATTAACCAAACCAATTCTTACACATTTGCTAGGAAACAAATAAGCAGTGCTGGGTAGTAATGGATTACATGTAATCAGATTATAAAAAAGTGATTACATTACATTTTAAAATGCTCATAATCAGATTACAGTTACTTAATTTACATATTATTCATAAAATGGCAGTAAAATATTCAGAATTTTCTGATTCCCTCTAATTTGTCTTTTTTTATAGAGTTTGAACTGCAGTTCTTACATTAACTCCAGTTTGGGAAACGCTGGTGTAATGCAAATGTTTAATGCACTTCATTTTGTTGATATCAAATAATGGAATATATTTTCTTTTTCTTTGCTTTTTTTTATATAAAAATGGTACATTTAATGGTAAGTTTAAAACAAGTTATGTAAAAAGTAATCTAAAAAGTAGTTAGAATACATGACCTAAAATGAGTAACCTAGATTACATTACTAACTACAAATTTCATCATGTACTATGTAAACAGTAACAGACTACAATTTTAAGTAATCTACCCAACACTGGAAATAAGAGGGTGTCGTTTGTGCTGTATGTCTGATATAATGGCAGGATTAGTCCGGTCTCCCTTGGTTCCCTTCAGAGATTAATTCATACTTTAAATTTATATTATTTTCCTCTGTAAATCCATTCATCCAGTAAATCCATAAATCCAGTCTTCTGCCGTAGTTTCACACAAAACCAATCCTAGGCCTAGGTTGTTCAAACTGCAACCGTTTCTATTTGTAACCCTCAAACTGCAAAGAGCTCAGCGACCCTTGCAAATCTTCAGCGACCCCTAGTGGGGGTCACGACTCCCAGGTTGGGATCCACTGCTTTAAAGGTTCTTCATGGAACCATATAGATGCCAATAAAGAACCTTTATATATTTTTTTAAGTGTCGTGAGCATCGATGCTCCCTGTTTCTTGTGGTGCATTGTGGGATTTTTAGGGAGTGGATGTTCCAGGGATTTAGCGATTAAGACTGTGCCCTGACTACTGCTTCAACACACCTGCCTGTGATTTTCAAGCAATCCTGAGGACCTTGACTAGCTGGTTCAGGTGTGTTTGATTCAGGTTAAAGCTGCAAGACAGCAGGACTGAAGACTCCTGTTCAAATGCAATGTTTCCCAACCTTGTTCCTAGAGGCACACCTGCTTATCAGCTCAATAGTAGAGACCAGAAATATCCAAAATGTGTATTTGTTGTGGGGCCTCCAGAAAGAACCCTGCTCTAAAGCTCACTGTGGCAAGTCATTTCCATCAACACTCCACTAGGTGGCGAAATGCACACATTTTTGCATTCTTGCATGCGTCATTTACCAAGCTGTGCCCAAAGTGGGTTGTAGGGATGTGTTTTCGCCAGCATGTCCACGCTCTGTGAGGAGTGCTTCTCCAGGAAGATCTTTATGGGTGGTTGACCGTTGGGCATGACCGTGGGAACCCAGGCAAGATGGTTAGTGAGAACCGCAGTGAGAAGTGCAGGGAGGAATCTAAAGACAACAGACAAAGCAAGTGAGAACATGGCTACATTCACTCTTATCAAGGGCGTTTGATGGCTTGAGGAGTATGTGTGACGTTACTCAACTGGTTCTTGGAGGCTTGCTCCATGAGCAGGGCCAGCTCCCTCATGAACTGGCCACAAAGCTGGTTCTTTTCAGGTGGACCCGACATCATGGTGAGCCAGACGGGCTCAGACACACGTGGCATGGTGTACAGGTTGCAGATGGTCGTCCTACAGGGCATCCGCACACAAAGACAAAAGAGCTTTTGTCAACAGTTTAAACAAAGAGCGCTTCAGTTGCACAGGGCTGCCCCAGCTGGGAAAGACCTTTGCAGCATATTTAACTGCTGCAAATGTCACGCAGCCCGGGAGCATTGGCCGCGGTCCAGAGCTTAACACCCAGATGCTACTCGAAATGGTAGGAGTTCAGGAAAGACTGCAGAGTCACGAGTAGGACTGCTTCTGCAAAACTAGCGCGCTTTCTCCACTTAATTACACGCAAAGCAAATCTCTGGATGCCATCAGAGGAGCAGCTTTAACACTAATCTGCAACTGCGCAACGTTGTTTACCATTACAAGCAATACTCGTGCTGATTAGGCACTGGGAAAAATGCAGATGTTTGCACAAACTCCCGAGTGTGTTCCCAATAGCCTGACACTTGGGAAAAAAACTACAATATACTCCCTTCCCAAGACGTACTATACTTCCCAGTACTGAAGTTGGTGTGTAGTGACCTATAAAAAGCCTCATGCAACAGCAGCTAACAGACAGACAGAACTGTTTTAGCACTGGATTAGGTAGGAGTTATGAAGCTCTGAGGTCTACTTTAACAAACCTAGAACCTGAAATGAGGACTGACAGAACACGACACGCTAAACGTTCATCACTTAAAATCAGGCCTGGGTGATTATTTAAGCAATACGGTGTTAGAGGAATTCACAATATAACGCCTTTAAGTGTTATAAAGTCTTACTATATATTACAAATATTAAAATGTTGATAAATGTCATTGGTATACTAGAAGATTTAACAGAACTAAACAAGCAAAAAAATGGTCCAATTAATTAGTTAAGGATCCGTTTGTGACACTACACAAAAAGTTTTTTGTTGTTATACTGCTGCATGTAAAAGAGCACTATATTAAATTTAGATCGAGTAAAGTCTATTCCTACTGTATTTTACACCTTGATTAAATTTGATCCCCGTCTTAATTAAAATGTGAACAGCTGATTGTTGACCAACTGATTTTCACAATCAAAACATCACACACTGATGTACAGCTTCATCATTTCAGATCTCTGACTTCACAACCCCGAGGAAGAATGCCAAGGTGTATTATTATCCCGCTGGAGGTGGGAAATCTGAAATATTTGTTTGTCTGTTCACTTGCACATTATTGACTATTCTGGTCTGTCCTGACAGTGTGTGAGGGAGATAAGGTTTCTGTGGCACCGGGGTCAGGTTGCTCTGGCCGCGGACCAACAAACATATGACTTGGAAGTATGAGAGGGTGCATAGTGGATTACCTCTGAAGCACAGACCGTGTTTATTTTACACAGACCAGGACTGAAGCACAAGCTCACACGGCCTTCTGCTCAGTTCCTTTGCAAGATGTTATATGCTCTTTTCAATACTATTAATAATTCTGCTCCTATTTATAAGCATTATTATTTAACAATAATAAATTAATAGTCAGTTTAAAGCTTATACTAAATAGAACTAAGTTTAAATGGTGAAAAAACAAGATGTGCACATGATTTTCCATTTCTATTTATTTATTAGCTGATGCTAATAAATGAGAAACTCCTCATGGTTAATCAATTAACTGATTGTTACAACAAAAATTTTTCATTTCTGCAGCTTTTGAACAGTTCGGTCAAACTAACAGATCAATGTTCTGATGGCGCCGCAGGGATACAATGTTTGTCTTTTAGGAGAATCAACATACAAATATAGTTGAAGTCAATATAGTCTTGTTCAGACTAAGTCCAGATCCGATTTTTGTGCATATCCGATCATATTTAACCAGTGTGAAAGGCAAAAAAATAAATAAATACATCACATAAAATCAGATTTTTAATATGAGTTTTGAAATCCTATTCAAATCACATTCCTGGAAATCATTTTCAGTCTGACTGCTCAGATTGGATTCAGTAAAACGAAAGAGCACCACAGGACACACAAATCAGATCCGAACAGTTGCGATACATAGTGTGGACAGTAACTAATTTAAACCAGATTTCAGTAGGATATGCAAAAAATGCACAGTGTTTGGACTGACAGTCTGAACAAGGCTTATTACTCTTAGATCATAGGAAGCATGAAAACAATGCCTTTTCATAATGACAATTGACAGAATTGAAAAAATGTGACATCTCTAGTATGATTGACAGGTTAATTTTTGTTTTTATTTCTTTGAATGCATTACGCTTCTGGTTGACCTGAACATGATTCGAGAGTTATCGTGTGAATCGTGTCAAAGATCACCGTGCTCAGTGCAGCAGCAGGAAACTTCCAGCAATGCCTCCAGAGGCGTTCATTAAGATTGGACACAAAGTCATCGCATGTGAAAGCGCCCTCAGATCAGTGTCGTGTGTCTCATGTCACATGAGTGGATTAAGTGTCCAGTACACCTTGGCTGGACTTTTAGAGGATGCAAATAACAAAACACCTGGTGAGCAGCGTCCACAGACGTGTCACCACAAACTCACCTAAACTCATTGAGGCCATCCACCATGCGACTGTAAGCCAAAGCTCTCTGGCTGGCATCAGCTGACCTGCGGCTCAGTATCATAGCCTTCAAACAAACAGAGAGCCACAAACACACGCTGTAAGAGAGACGCAACAGATGACGCAGGGAGACGGCAAACCACAAAAACACAAATCATGTCTAACCTGCTCAATGGCACTTTTGAGTTTGTTCATGTGACTCTCAAAGAGAGGAAAGTGAGAGAAGAAAAAGTCCTGGAACTTGGCGTTTTCTTCGTCGTTGGGCGAGAGCAGGAAGATGACACCAATAGCGATCTTCTTCTTCCTGGCAACACCCAAACTCGGCCCGCTGTTCTCATCAGACATTTTGAAGCTCTCCTCCACAGACCTAGAACGCAACCACACCACTGGATTAGACAGGGAAATGTGAGCGGCTGAAAAGAGTCTCACACTGACATTTATACGCACTGAGTCCTCACTACTGTTTGTCATTTCTGAATTTCTCTCTAGTTTGCATGTGTTAAGTGAAGGTCCTGATGAAAGAAAAATCTGCTGTAATTATAGAAGTAGGTGATATACTGATAGAAATGTCTCGGCTACACTTAACGATGCAATTTTATGCAATGTTGCATAATCATACAATTGTTGCACAATCAGTTTACATTTGCATGCATTTTTAAGCCTAGCCAGTGATTGAAAACTATTCAAACGCAACGAGATGTGAAAGAGACCTTCTCTGTACTCATGCTGAGTCTGAGAGCGCCCATAAAGCAGCCGCTCACACAGCGTCCGAGTAATGAAATCTTTTTCAGTCAAAAATGCACAAAAATGTCAAATTGATCATCAGTCAGTTATGTCTGTTAAATGAATGTAAACAGTTGGGAGACAAGCGAACAATCAAATTGTACATCAGTTTGTGTCATTAATATTCATCAAACATTGAAAGACAAGAGAAAATCACTCGCTGCTTTTGACTGAATCTCTTGTAAAATCGTATATTTCATTTATACAGTGAGAACTATGCAGTTTTATTTTGACATTTTTTATTCAGTTTCTGTAGTAGTTCTTATTTCTGATAGATTAAACCATTTGTATCATTGTTCTATTGTATTTGTTTAGCTGTGATATCAAAATTGGCGTCATGAATCATGCAATTACAATTGTATTTAATATTTTGCTATTGTAACAACCTTATTTCAGGCAAATATATCTACTGTGACATATTAAGGTGAAGTAAAATTTCTCCTATATCGTCATTTAAATGGTCCTATCGCCCAATGCTAGCTGTGGACACAGTGTGTGCATGAGTGTGTTGCAATCGCACCATCGAGGGAAGACGCCGTTCTCCAGGCTGGTGGTTTGGCTGCGTAACCAGCGTCGCTGGTAGCTACTAGCACAGCTGCTGGTGAGAGAGGAGCCCGGTGATGGAAACGGGGTGATCAATAGGCTGCTTAAAGACGCTGTGGAGAGAAGAGAGGATCAGTGAGTCGGTGTGATCACATGCCCATCACTCACACACGGCAAAAATAAGGTACTCTTGCAATGACGTGCAAACGGAAGGATATTCTTTGTGCATCATTTCTGAGAATTTGAACTCTTAAAGGCTCTGTTTATTTATTTTGCTACTGCAGCTTTAAATGGAATAGTTCAAAAACACAAGTCCACAATCCATAATAATGATTCCGCCAATGAAAAAGTTGTCTCGTCTGAATCAGGAGAGAAATATGTACAGATCAAACACTGTTTACAAGCCCAGACAGTTCTATATAAATAAGTAGGTTGATTTTGAAGTAAGAGACAACAAGAGATTAACTTTTTCACTGGAGGAAGCGTTATTATGGATTTTCGCAGGAATCAACAGTTTGAAGTTAAAGACTTCTTAATGATGAATTTGTTTCTTACAAACACAGCTTTTGGCTTCACAAGATGTTAACTGATGGACTGGAGTGGTGTGGATTATTGTGATGTTTTTATCAGCTGTTTGGACTCATTCTGACTAGGGATGTCAATGTTCGATTATTTCCATGATCAATCGTCGTTTAAATTAACAATCAATTAAGCGATTAATCGTTAACCTTAATACTGCAAAATGCGTCTATTGAAGTAGCATATAGTCACTGGCAAATGCCACTCAAGACGCCAGCTTCCTCACCCGAATTAAAGGGGTTTTTAGTCTAAATAAAAGGCTAGTAGTAGGATTGTAAAATGAATAGATGTGATTATGATCATTTGATAAAATTAAGAGAGCCACCGTAGTTACGTTTGGGATCATTATACTTTACTTTCTTTGAGAGAAAGTACTGAAATATATATATTTTCCCTGTGTTTCCTTCCTGCTGTGTGAGCTACTGAAATGAGCCGCACTGTGAAACAGCCAATCAGAGCAGAGCTCAACATTATTATTCATGACCCTTCCAAATAAGGTAAAAACAGACCATTTCATTCTAGGGACAAATCCTAGGGTTGTAAATGGACATGTAAAACCGTTTCTGGAGATTTTTTGCCCTTACCTAAGCCACATACCTTCTATGTAGATATCAGAGAACAATTTAAAATATTGTATCAATGCATTCTATGGCACCTTTAAATCATGGGTTTTCTAGGGAACAAATTCATGAAACACGGACAGTGGCCACAAATTAATGATATATATATGTAGCGCCCCCTGCCCTCTCGAGAGTTACGGCTCTGTTAGGAGCACCTGGTTCTGGTGATATGTCTCTCGACTAGTATTATAAACTATTACACACCTCTAGTATTAATACTATGTACAAGCTAAGCCTACAGGTAAGTATGGTGAATCCAGGTAAATATGGGTAAGTATAAAAACTATAAAGTTTTATTATCAAAATAAATAATCAACAAAATAAATCTCAACAAATATATAAATATCAATAAATAGAAAAATAGAAATAAATACATAAATAGGCCAATAAATAAACAAATAAATAGACAGTGTGTAAAAATGTAGCAAAATAGACTATGAGTTCGCAAAGTCTACATTCAAAGGTCCAAATCTGAATTTTCATCAGTGTCATCAAAGGTCCGGACTGGAACAATTGGTTATTACAAAACTTGTTTTCAATAAACATACATAACATGCATAACAAATAAGCATTTTTTTTTTTTGAAAAAAATAAAGCTCCCTTAGCATTCAAAATACATTAATAACTAATTAATAATTAACTAATTAAGTAATAATTAATTTAAGTGTCAGCAATAGAGGTCGACCGACCGACCGACCGGTCAACCATCCAAAGCGCAGAAGGACTGCAATGTAAATGTGAAGTCTGCATGTTGTGCATGTCTCAGTTTGCTCTACTACACATACTGAAGCTTGCGTGATGCTCGTCTTAAAATATGAACACATGAACATCTCCAGAGCTGCTCTGAGAGCCACTTCACCACCATTTGACCAATTCATTTGAGACAAAACTATTGTCAGAAACACACTAAAACTAAAAGATCTTCACTACAACCTACCAAAATAAAGGTTCTGTCTAACTTTAATAAATGATGACACAGACATATTACTGTCGTACAGTAGAATATACTTCTCAAAGTACAACATTAAAACACCATTTAAGGAATAACACAATTTCTTCGTGCATTTTAATTTAAACCGTAAACCTCTGTTGTGCAGCACTTTGTTTGCCAAAAAAAGGAATTGTTAAATTTACATTTGATTGCAGTTAAAAGATTAATTAAATAAGTTTTATGCATTAATATAATTAGCACCTTTTTAGATAATAAAACTGCATTTATGAAAAGATAAAGCATTTCATAGGGCAATATTATTGTTACAATTTTAATACATTGCTAAAGCTTTATGAATTCCATGATTAGACATTATTATTAAAATGTAATTAAACATAAAATTAAATGCAAAAAAAAAAAAAAAAGGAAAACATACAACAGGGCCCGTATTCACTAAACATCTTAAGGCTAAAAGTAGCTCATAACTCGCCGATTAAGGAGAAAATCTTAAAAATAATGGGCGTGTCAGTCCTAAATTTAGGACTCCTAAATCTTTGCTCCAAGAGTGTTTCACAAAGTGTTTTAGCACTAAAACTAGCTCCTAAATCTGCGAAACATTAGTAGTGAAGAGGACTCCTAAGTCACTAAGACCAAATCTGAACTATCCTAAAATGGCTGTTGCCAGCAATCTACCTCGGAATATAAACATTTTAGAAACATTTGACGATAATGAGCTTTTAAAAATG